AAATCTGTGCGCCAAATTGAAGACGTTTATGAAGGAGCAATCAGCCAGGAGGAACGGCAGCACATAAGTTACCTCAACCAATTTAGAACGAATGCGGTTGACTGTTGTGAAGGTGATTTCTTCGGCAACGGTGGCGATTGCCTCAAGGGCAGATGATAAGGGTAGCAGTTGCTCATGGCTGACCAGCTTGACATTTTCCACAATTCTAGTCATCTTTTCTGTAAACTGAGGAGTTTTGTAGGCTAGAGATGATGTATTGAGGTGATATTCAAGTGACTTTAAGTTGAATTAGCACACTTGAGCAGGATTTTAATGTGACATGAGGAATGACATACGCATACCTGAGCTACTTTGTTGCGTTTAAGATCGACTTCATGGGGTGTGCCTGAAGTAGTTAAGAGAGGGTTGTGTCACCCATTGGATGGACAAGTTAGGATTTGCAAAATGCGGAGCCTACCTTGAGTCAGACCAGTTCTCACAAACGCCCTCAATTCAGAACATGCTGCCTGAATTGCACTTAAAACGGTGTTTGTGTCGGTGGATGTGATCGCCTCCTCCAGAACAGAGTTTTTGCCGGATAAAATGTCGTTCATTTGTTTTTCGAATTCTTCCGGATCACTCCTAATGAACTACAAGTGTGGTGAAGTAGCCACAATGAGCAGTTGGTAAAAGGAGTGACATATGACTGTCTGGACGAGCAGGAAAGAGTTGGATGGTGAGTAATGAAACACTGGCAAATAGGTTTAACTCGAATGCATTAAATAAGGTATAAGGAGAAAGAGGAGAGTGCGGATATCTTGACTAATGTGTGGTTTGATGAGTAACATGCAACCGCTTATAGGGACAAATGCATTTTCCAAATTCCACTCACTTCGATAGGATGCGAGCACGTATCAATGTTTAAATTGGAATTCTGCAGAGCGCGTATACACAAGAGAACGCCCATCCCACCCGAGGGCAACATACCACAAAACGAAGGAGCCGTGTTAGTACCCAGAGTCAATTGGCTCTCTTTTTTTTGTGCTACAAAGCGTTATGTAGACATCGGTGAAAAATCTTCCTACCATAAAACTCAAACCTCCCCTCCATTGGCTGCTGACACTTGCACTCCACACAGACACGTTGAAACGCGCGTACAGTCAATGGAACTTCAAATGTGCAGTGATTGCATGCACTTACTGGGAAGACAGTTAAGGACTGACAGGACTGGTGGTCCTTATCGAACTTGTGCTGCACTGCCATACAGACAGTCAGGTGGGTTCCACTTGGCAGTTGAAGGGTGAGGTTTGGATGGATGACTAAAGTGTTTGTGTTCCATCCTACAGAGAGGAGGGATATGCGTATCTTTACAGGTGCAAGTAAATAGCCTGGCGATGGTGAGAGAGATGATTGAGTTACTTTGTGCGCACACATTTGAATTGACACTTGCGGCCTAACTGCCATCAAACAATCATAGATCTATCCAGTTGAGGCGTTCCCAATAAAGGCGGTTTGTAGAGGACTTAGTTGGTTAGTGCCACATTATATGTATGTCCGCATGGATATGAGCCCGCGTTTATGCGGTGTGAGTGAATGAGAAAAGTCGCTAAAGCTTCTCACATGAACTTTTTGAACAATGCAAGCGACTTAAGTGAACCGATAAACATCCGATCCACACGTAGTCATAAATTTGCATGAATTTGCTTTGGTTTTCCACTCACTTTGCCGAATGCATTTTCCTGCTCATCTATCACCTATTTCCTATCCCAATTCCTTTCATTGTTTCAAAGGCATATACTAACTCACCTTCTCCAAATCGCCAGACGTCATCCATTAAATGAATCTTTGGCTCATTGGGCAGTTGGATTTTGAAGTACCAGACTATTTCGACATCTCTTAAACCCCTGTTACCGGTGGATCCACCGACAACCACAATATAGTCGGGTTTTCCTATGATCAACGTCTCTGCGATGAGTCGTGGCCTTATGACTCTAAATGAAAGTTAAGCAATAGAACATGGGGCTTCTTACTTAGTGAATAGCTTGAAGTCCAAACTCCTTTTCTGCCGAATTTTGGGTGTATCTCGACTCCTTCTTGCAGATGTGTCAGTATAAACAGCAATTTCATAATGCCCACCCATTTTTAATTCGTTCGTAGTCAAGCATATATTGTCATCCACCTTCCTCACTTCATAGCCTCCTCTCCCCGCTGAGACAAGTACCTTTTAATGGAGGGAAGCAACATTCCGAGTAAAGAAGGAGGAGGAGGAGGAGGAGGTGAAGGGAAAGTAATGATGGCAGATGAGCTTGCCTCTTTTGGATAAGAAGAGTAGACCGAATCAAACCAGAGCCTTGGTAAAAAACATATGTTCTGTTTGTTCCACGGAAAGTAGTAGAAGTGGTCACTTCCGTGCAGATTTTCAAATCGCAAAGGCATCGGCCATAACCTTGAGAAGGTCGAAATGGGTTGAGTCGCATCACTGCAGCTGCGTTGATAGTTTGTACACACGACGTCGAAATGCTCACTATGGAGGACTTCGAAGGAACGACAAACTTTTGAACCACCATTCGCCATAACCGTGACTGTATATTGAGCCGCCTATCATTCATTCATTCATCGTTACTACCAATGCACACAGCTTACGGTTCTGGCAAAGGCAGTTGTGTATTCTGTACATTCAACCGACTTTACAAAACAATAGTCTACGTTCCCTCTATTCGCAAAACACCACGTTAACTCCTTCGCGACTCCGCCAATGACAGTGGCTTTGAATGTGATTCTGCTTCCAATTCTAAAGACGTCAAAGCGTCTTCCACATCCGGAGAAGAGCTTCGATCCCACCTTCTCGAAAATGGCAATTTCACCAATTGTTGGCCTGTCTATATCTACCACCAAGTTAGCGAAAAAGATGCGTATGACCCATCAGGACAAACTTACCAGATGCCGAGTTTAATTTGGCACTGGGAAGAATCACATTAATAATGGCATCGATGCGCATTGTTGAGTTCTGTTGCTGCCATGGTCGTGGTTCCATTATGGCTGCTACCGGGTACAAGCCTTCTCTGTTGAAAGATCCATAGAAGTGCATTTGGTCGGTTAAGTACACGTCCAAGTGTATCTACAAATCGGTGTCGATATACATATGGGGGGAATCGGTCCTCATGCAAACATGTCAAATCTTCATGATAGTGACTTGGCATAGGCGTGCTTCTTCCTTCACTCGTGCTAGAGTTCTTACAAACTTGGCCTCAGTAAGGACATATTTGTAAGCGAAAGCACATTTCCCATTTTCTTGTTCCTCCCACTTTACCGTCAAATGTGGATTCTGCTCTAAATGCATTACCTGACTAGAGTCTGTTAAAATAATCAAGTCATGGAGCAAAAAACTTAGTGTTCGCTAAACAACACGTCTGAACCTTTATCCATCCGCTTAAAGATCTTCAAAGTTAAAGTATTTCTAAGAACCTGTCATCTTTTGACAACAGAGTGGTAGTCAGTAACCTGTTGTCCTGTAAGGATTGGCAATGATGGAATGGTGAAAAGAAGAAGAGAAAAGTTTTCTATATCGTCGTCAAAACTAGCCTATAAGAAATAGAATCCGCTCACCGCATTAGCGTTACGCAGTCTCATGCGACACTCATGCAGCCACAACTGCTTCTCCTGCAGTCTGGGCAGGTGGATGTACTCATTGACCTACAAGTGACGTCTGTGAGGCGTTCACTAATCCCTACATTATGCCCATACAGACAAACGGGCAAACAAACAAGTGGTTCTGCGTCCAATTTGTCGATGGGCAACACCACGAAGGTGATTCTATTAAGTGCCATGGATGAGGATATCCCATCATGTGGTGCGCATTTTTGCGGAAATCAGCATCCCCATACTGGAACGCTCCTGCAAGTAATTAGGGATCTCTTCAGCTCCTCAAGAAGGTTAGACCATAAGACAGTCCATTGCGTTCGGATCTGGGAGACCTCTTGGAAGTGCAGGACTAGTGTGGACACCTCATCTCATTTTGTTAACCCTTTAATCTGTGTAGATCCCAGAATCTACACCTTAATGAGATGGCGCCAACCCAACGTTGCTGCCATCACTGACCCATCAGCCCAATCGAATTCCGTACCAGTGGATGCAAGTGGCCTCTTCATTAAAAACCACGAGTTCGGCAGCAACTTGATGACTCACCTTCGACATCGTGCAATGCGATTCTTGCAAATGCATTTCGCCTCCTCTCGTGTGCTTCACTGTATTATTCACAAAATCAATTTGAATGTTGTCATCTCTAGCAAGATGACACGGACTGTCTAATTCATCCAATCGATTTGTTGACCCCTCATTCGTTGTGTTGCATACCTGAAGAGAAAGATGGCGGGGCAGAGCTTGAGAGAGAAAGGTAGAAAGTGCGAATGGGGACAAGAAAACAATAAAAGGTAAAGAAAAGCTGGAGAGTGGAGATGACAAGGATAAATTAATGAAGTCGGATTTCTTACTAAGGGTTTACTCTGATGCTTGTGTGGTCCGACGAGAAAGGTCGTGCTTCAAGAAAGTCGACGTTTACTTAGTTGTGGCTCATAAAAGTCGAGCAAATTTCGGTAAATCACCAAACACTTCTAGTAGCAAGCATTTAAGTGACACTAATAGAAGTAATGAGGCGGAGTGAGCTCAAAACTGTCTATGTCTGGTCCTGTGTGCCTATTCGTTTCACTGTCGATGTATGCGTTTGTTGACTCACTTCAATCTTGATTTTGACACCTTTTGCCTCCACTGAAATGGAAAGAAGGTCAGAAATTTCGTGGGCCATGCCATTGTAGGCAAAAATGTTAGACATAAAACAGTTTATGAGTTTCCCTTCCGACTGCCTCAGTGATGCAACACCAAGAGGTAGGAACCCAGCGGTCTCTAAAATGTAAATGTATGGCCATTTGTAAAATGACAGTCGCAACTTCACTTTCTCAAAAAAATGAACACATTCAGCATGTAAATGCTGCTGGCAGTAAGTGAGACGTCATGACACAACATAAGAATCTGGCAAACCTAAAGGCTTGCTTCCGAATGGTGGCCATTCGTGCCACTTCACTGTACCTTGAAGTGTGCTTTCGTGAAACACTGTAAGATTGCACTGGAATATCTCATTCACAACCACTGTATCTGGACATTTGAAGTTGTAGGTGAGGTCGAAAGCGGAGTCACGAGTCTTTTGTGGTAATGTGTGCCCAGGTACACTCTAAATGTTGAGTACGAATAAGGTTGCAGGAGCCCAAGTTATACTAACAAACAAAATGCTCTGAAGCGCAGTGATGATTACGAGGTGCCGCTGCAGGCAAAGAAACAGCTTCAGCGATCCCATACACGGAAGCGTTGACTTCATTCAGTTGGGCTTAAAAAAGAAACTTATTGCATGATTTGGGATGCTTCCTCACCATTGAGAACAATTAACGTGTCACTCATGCCACAAAGTATTGCCGTTTGTTTTATATATGAACACCTTCGAGAAAGTGCAGCAACACCTACGATGAAGAACAATGGACCACTTTCACAATACCGTCATAAAAGCGAAGTGTATCGTTTTAAAGTACCACCTTTTTCTCTTCCTTGAGTGAACACAGGACAGGAGGGGTGAGTAAGGGCGGAATCGGGTACAGGTAGTGGGCAATCTACGCACACAAAGGGGATGGTTTGTGCGCTTTAATGCTGCAATGCTCATGTTCGCAGCATTAATAAAAGAAGAGCACAAGGCTACATTTTGCGTATGGTGTCAAAACTGCGTTAAGAAGACCTCACACCCTTTCTACTTGTTACTATCGTAGATAAATGTTTGCAGTAAACACAATTTGCGCAAAGCATATGGACGCTTGGGATTAGAATTGCCTCCAAATGAATGAAGGCCTGAAGTGGGCACCTTGATTTGGTTCCCTTCACTATTCATGTACGAATTCTACCGTGTCTTGCCTGACATGCTCAAGATTACTTTTTATATAACTCCGATCAGAAAGATCAAAATGCACCTCAGTTTAGTACTCACATCAATGCGAATGAACTTTGAAGTGTCGGATATGCGAATGGAGGAAGAGATGCCAATTGTGGGTCAGAGGTGAACCACAGTACAAAACCAATGCAAATAAAATGAAGCACATTTTAATTAGTAAACAGTGGAGTGAAGAGAAAAGTTCACGCATCACTGTCAAACATCCGCGAGGCCTGTCCCATCAGTGTGAAGGAATGGAATGGGAGAAGAGTAGAAGGAGCGAAGGAAGAGAAGGATACCAGTTCAGCTAAAGTATATTAGTGTTTAACTTCACGTTAAGATGTGATATAGACAGTAGGGAGCCCTTGCAATTACTTAATAGAGATGACGACTGGAACCACTTTGAAACACTTAACACGCGCCTTAGCACGTAGAGAGCCAGTTTGGTTGTACGACAGACAGTTTTATAGATGAGGAGAATGCTCAGATGGGCTCGTAGTTAGAATCAACGTAGATGAGGACTGAAGACGAATGGATTGATCAAGACTCCAAAGTGAGTTGCTGAAGGTGGAATAGGAAACTACGATTGTGCAGTAACCAAACGAGAAACCCTTAATGAGCGCGCAAATTACGAGAGACTAGGATCTAAACTGTGCAGGCGGCTGATCAGGCAAGTGATTTAGAGATAAACAGAACTAACACAAACACTAACATTGGTCTGGACTTCGTGAATGTTGTAGACTGACTTGATTAACAGTAATCACGTAATTAAACGTTATATAGAGAAATTATGTGAATTGCTCTTATTCTTCGCTAAGCCCTAAGACTGCCTTGTTAGGGTAAACGTTTCTTAAATTGCAAAGTTGTGAAGAGTGTAATAGAGCTTGGCAAGGCAATTTCTGCACAGAACGTGCACAACCATTTAGCATTACTAGAAGTTTGTAAGTGACTCAAGCCAATATAACATTCTTCGGTGACATTTTCGAGCAAGAGTGTATAGCATCAACAGCGGCCCTCATTTACTTACGGCGATGGACAGAAATTGTTCATAATGAAGGCGGGTGCATGATGGACATCATCATAGATGGATCATCATCCATGAGAACAGGCAGTCAGATTTGGAATGTCCCGTCAAAACGAAAACTGGGCAAGGAGTTGAGGAATCGGAGAGGCGAAGTGAGGCGAAGTGGGTCATAAGGGAGAAGAGGAAGAAGATGCACCTGATCAGCAACACTAAGATGTATAAATCTGGAGTGGACAGTGCTTACGAAGCTGAAAAGTCTGTAGTCCAGGATTGGGGGAAAATATGATGTAGAACACAGGCAAACTCAGTCGTAATACCAGGTGGACAATGAAGTTGCAGAGCGTGGTACTTATCGACGGTTCTTTGGGTTATAAGTCCAGCACGCTTCAATTGCGCCACTTTGCTGAGAGTTTTGATAATAACATGGCGTTAGGCTGCGTACTTAGTCGAGCTATTACAACCACGTGGACAGATTAAGTAGTGTATAGTCAGTAAGGCAGGAGACGCAGATGTGTGGATGTCGACAGAGGGGAGAGATGGCAGAAACGGAGATCTATGCATCATGTTGGTCCATCTAATCCAATGTACGGCATAGCCACTCACAGTGTCAAGTAAAATTCACAAAGAAGTAAAATGGTTGTACGAGTAGGCGCATTTGCAAAAATATGCCGATTAAGGCTACTAATTTACATTTATTTCTACGGGGTAAAATTCCGGCTACGGAGGTTCTCTCTACTGACATTCGCTCACAGCATAGTGGGCTGGAGGGTCATGCGCCCGAGCAGCACGGCTCCAAACACTGTGAATACACCTATATGTACATCACATGAGGAGATGAAGGTGTGAGATCATAAGACGATGGCAATAAAGCCTGCCTAATAATGTAAGGTAAGGGGAGGATGTTTACGTCAATGCAAAACGATGCTAACCGCTGCTTTGTGCACATCACTATGCTTCACTGTGCAGCCAGGCTACTACTGCAGATGCAGGACATGATGAGATGTGCGCCCAGTCTGTGCATACTTGCCTATTTCCACATAGCCAG